AAATAAATTGAAAACTATAAAAACCTGAGGATTTAAAGGATGATGAGGTGAGCTGTGGACATTGTCTACCTAGACTTCTCCAAGGCTTTTTGATACGGTTCCCCATGGCCTCCTCCTGAAGAAATTGCTGTGTTATGGCCTAGAAAAGTGGTCGTGCGGTGGGTGGGGAACTCGCTGGCAGGCTGCACCCAAAGGGTGCTGGTAAATAGCTCTTTTTCTAACTAACTGGCAACCTGTCACAAGTGGGATCCCCCAGGGATTGATATTGGGCTCAATGTTATTCAACATCTTCATAAGTGATCTGAATAATGGGCTGAAGTGTAGCCTGATGAAGTTTGCAGGTGACACCAAATTGAGTGGAGAAGTAGATACTCTGGAAGGGAGAGCCACCCTGCAGGAAGATCTGGATAGGCTGGAAGAGTGGGCTAACAAGAACCTTGTGAACTTCAATATGGACTGGTGTAAGGTCTTGCACCTGGGAAAACACAATCCAGGAGTGCAGCACAGACTGGGATCCATCTGTCTGGATAGCAGCTCTGTGGAAAGGGACCTGGGGGTCCTGGTCGACAACAAGCTCAATATGAGTGAGCAGTGTGCTGCTGCGGCCAAGAAGGCCAACAGGGTGCCTGATTGCATCAACAAGGGCATCACCTAAATTCAGGCAACAGTATAAAGTCTTTCTTGGGAGAAGTAAAGCCTCATATAAGCTGACTGTTACATTTGTCCACAAAGATGTGGACAGGTTGGAGGGGGTCCAGAGCAGGGCCACCAAGATGATCCAAGGACTGGGAAGCCTCTCTCAGCTGTATGAGGACAGGCTGAGAGAACTGGGTTTGTTCAGCCTTGAGACAAGGAGGCTCAGAGGGGATCTCATCACCATGTACCAGTACCTAAGGGTAGCTACAAGGAAGATGGAGATTCCCTTTTCACAAGGAGTCCCATGGAGAGGACAAGGGGGAATGGACACAAGTTGCTCTTGGGGACAATCCGACTGGACTTGAGAGAGAAATTTTTCACGAGAACAGTCAGCCATTGGAATAATCTCCCCAGGGGAGTGGTTGACTCCGCCACATTGAACACGTTCAAGATGCGGCTGGACAGGGTGCTGGGCCGTCTTGTCTAGGCTGTGCTCTTGCCCAGAAAGGTTGGACCAGATGATCCTTGAGGTCCCTTCCAACCTATGATTCTATGATTTTATGTATCTTAATTTTTAAAGGTGATTTAAAAGTTAAAGTTTGCTGATGAATATATTATGACAGGACTTACTTAAAGCCTGTGCTGACAGCACTTTGTCACCAGATAGATACAACAGGTCCATACACTGAGCAGCTACCACAGATCAGCAAACGCTGGATTTCACATCCCGGTGCATCCCATGGTAATTTGTTTGCTTACCCTGTCCTTAAGAACGTAAACTCATTCATCTGGTTTTCACAATGGAATTTTACATGACATCTGCATGTCTAATCATAAAGACACTAATTTGGAATGAAAACATCACATCGCCAGCTACTACTCACATCCTGGGGAAAAAAAACTGCACCAAAACAAAAGAAATATTCGATAGCTTGGATTTGGATTTTTTTTTTTTCCCCTCACTAAAAGCTACAGATCCTTTTTTGCCTGTAGTATTTTACATCTGAATATGTATAAATATATTTGCATATCTGCTAAGTGGAAAGGGTCCAGCTTATTTGACTGTTGTACACATTTCACCTACTCGTCAGCTTTGCTATGAAAACAAGACATCAGCTTGTAGTGTGCCAGTAAATACCTTGTGCTGGTTTCAAGTAACGGTAGTCATTTTTTACAGGATGTTTGGGTTTGCTTGCCCGAGTTTCAGGTAGGGAATTATGATTTTTTTTTTCTTTTTTTTTCCAGACAGCTAGAAATGTCTAACTTTAGCCATGCCTGACATAAATAGTAACTTCCTTAGGTAATATGTACACGTAAGGCACTCTTTTAACTGTAAAACTACATTCCGTGTCACTGGCTCCATACACTTCAGCTGCTTGTTTTAGGAAAGTGTTAATAGTTAATACGTTCTTCTGCTTAGCGATCAGTTTTTAGTAGTTAGTTCGCAGCTTCTTCAAATATATTTTTTTTTCCCCAGATTGCACGCACGCGCTCTCTCTCTGAATTGCTGAAGACAGTAAAAGCTCTCACGTTAATGGTGCCCGATTGCCTCTGGGCTCCAGCTGCAGCAGCCAGGGATGTCCTCTCACACCTCGTCCCCAACCAAGGGCTGGACTGTCGTCTTCCTCTAGCAACAGCAGATGTGAAACCAGGCAGTGTGTGTTGGTGCTTGTGCTCTTCATCAGCTCAGGAATACGCTAACAGCCAGGTATGGGGCTCTTTGAGGGATACAAGCCAGCGCGTAAGACCATCAAGGCATTTTAATCTAAAAACTCTACTGTGCTGGGACTGGGGTGACCTACCCAGGGTCCTTACCACCATCCTTCTGCTGTCTTCGTGCATGAAAAAGTGTTGGCATGTGTGTTGTTTGCGTGTGTGTTGTTCCTCTGGGGGGGGGGGAAGAGGCACCCACGTGTATGTCCAACAGGTTCTCAGCATCCCCTGAGACGCATTTGAGCTTTGCTGTGCTCGGGTCCACAGCTCTGTGGACTGTTCTGGACTCGGTGTTGGCAAGATGGCTGCTGGCAATCACAGGGATAGGACTGGGTGCCCTGTAGGGTTATTTCTATTTCTATACTTCTAAGACTGCATAGGTGGGTCATGTTTATTTTAAACCTAAATTTTACTTCAAAGCGTTACATTTATACATGTGCTAAGCTGGTGCCATTAAATTCAGATGCCAGAACTGCTGATGCAAACAGGTATTACAAACTTTTGAATCGTTTAATTTCACCTTCTTCTTTCACTACTTACAGTTTCATCTTACGGTTTTCAGTGGCTCCCCGAAACATTTTGATACAGCCCGATGACTTGTCATTCTAAAAATGGGAGTATTCAAACGAGCAAACTGAGATCATGTTTCTACTTCAAAATGAGAGGCCCCCCCCTCACCTCCCCCCTTTTTAGATACAAAGCTACTGTTGACAGGACAAAGCCAGTGTCTTAAATCATGGAATCATGGAATTGTTTAGGTTGGAAAAGACCTTTAAGATCATCACGTTCAACCATTCCCCTAACCCTGCCATCCCACCACTAAACCCTGTCCCTAAGCACCGCGTCTGCCTGACTTTTAAATCTCTCCAGGGATGGGCCCTGGGCAGCCCCTTCCAGTGCTTGACAACCCTTTCTGGGAAGAAATTTTTCCTGATGTCCAACCTAAACATGCCCTGGCGCAACTTCAGACCATTTCCCCTTGTCCTATCGTCCGTTACCAGGGAGACGAGGTCAACCCCCACCTCGCTACAGCCTCCTTTCAGGTAGAAAATATCTAAAATAATACATAAGAAGCATCATTTTGGTTCCAACTGCGTTGCCAGGCCTAGGATCACTCTTGTATGATTCGCCATACATAAGGTACAACGTTGCTGCCAGGGTCGCTTTAAGAATTGAAATGTTTTTGTGCAGCATTTACTTGTGTTTTATTTTGCTATTCAGCAACAAACTAAACTATGGTATATTTTGATTGATTTAGTTTCTCCATGAACATGAGCACTATATTGCTACAATGGGGAATAACTGGGAAAATTAAATACAATTACACTGACTGAAATGAGATCCAGGTTTCTATCAATGCTTTTATTTTTGCTTAAAGAAACAAAAACTACAAGCAATGAAGAAACTAACCTATAGAAGGTAACAGTTCCTTCTCCCTCTATTTCAACTGATATTTGAAAATTGTTTTTATTACAGCATAGGTGAAACAACTGTGTTCAGCAGTGTTACTGAGAAGGTACAGAAGAGATCAGATGTAATGCTACCACATAGTAAAGAGATTATTTTTTTTTTCCATGTCTTAGGATAACCAAAGTCTATGTATTAAAATACGCATTTTTTGGATCCAAAAATGAAGAAATCCAGAACAATATTTTAGAAGTTAAATACAAAACAGTAGTAAATATGCAAAATACAGTTGATAAGCAGAGCGATGAGGCAAAAGAAATAAGGATAATAGTTGATTCTTTAAATGTAATTCTTTGTAACGCTGGGCTTCCCCCCCCACCCCCTGCGTGTAATGTATGGTCAGTCTAAACAGGACAGCTGTGCAACACAGGGAGATGGTCCTACCTTACACAGTATAGCTGAATTTAATTACCAAAGCATCAAAAAGGTTATGAGACTGGAAGGCCTGATATCTGCATGAGTATGTACTAACCAGCTTGTGTCTGAGGAAAATGAGGTTCAAAAAAATACAGTTCTATGATATACAGTACTTCTTCAGTAAGAGAACTTGTCCAAAGCGAATGCATCCTCTTCCAGCACAGATTTCTCGACGATTTCAAACAGTAATGCGAAAACTGAAATTACAGTATGACTGCTAACACTGAGTGATACTTTGGTTAAATACATACGTTACGCATCTGTGTGCAGATATCAGGCATTTCACCATCTTCCAGAAGAGATTTTTTTTACCCTGACACATTTATTCAAAAGTTTGTTATGAACCATTGAGATTGAGTTGTTTATCTGTTTGATTTATCGGTGAGCATCAGCACTCCTTAAAGAATAGTTCAAAACTAAACACTCTATATAGGACCAATAGAGCAGAATTATTCAAGTTCAATGAAATATTACAAAAAAGGCTTCCTTTTTAGGAAAACTCAGCTATGGTAAAAATATCTACTACAGTGCACTGCACTGTAATAAATATTCAACATAAATTAATAATTTACAAGTACCTGAGCAAGTGTACAGAGCACCATAGCACAGCACAGCACCAAAGGCAGTAGCTCAGAATTCTTAAAAATAATGCTGTTTTAAACATTAAAAATTCTAAGTATTGTCATAAAAATGAACTCCAGCTGGAGTTTAAAGATAGTGCAAACTTCTGTCTTTACTTTTTAAAATAAAGGTGTCGGATTTTCTAGTCATTTCACATCAGCAGTGTTGCTGGACCCGGATACCTGTGGTGGATGCTTAGGAGCAGGTCTGGTGGAAAGAAAGAGAATAGCAAATTGTTATTTAAACTTTTGTTAGCTCTCACTGCCAGCATCATGCCTGAGGTGTGAAGATGAGTGGTAAAACCTCATAAAGAGTTATCCAAGCTAACGGTAGACATGTAGCATGGGACTCTCATACTGGGAGGAGATCAGACATGTTACGATCTACATGAGTCCCATCAAGAAGCATAAGTGGTACCAGCAGACTCCTTTTTTTCCAGTTCAGGTGTTAATTGCTGCTTGGTCAGTGGGATAAGCTAGCTTAATATTTCGGGTGTTGTTCTTTAAACTCTTTTATTTCTTTGGGTGCTCAACAATTTTGCGCCTGTTCAAAAACGTGACTTAATGCTGTAGAGTACCAGTTGCTTTCAAAAAGTTGTAGGAGTCAGCTTGAAATGTTATTACTTTCAGAATATCTCACTAGAACGGACAGCCAGGAGCTTAACCAAAGTTCGCTCTTGCAGTCTTTTTGCTAGAAGCATTAGGAAATGAACATGATTTGACTTTTAATTTTTCTGAGCAACGTTGAGTGCCTCACTGATGGAATTTCTGTAGCTGAAAATACTTTTATCTTCCTTGCAGCTCACTTTTTATTCGTAGAAAACTGAAGAACATTGGGTAAGAAAATATCATTGACTATGCCCATTAACATTAGACACAGCTATTTCACTTGCAGATTACATTTTTTCAACATCCTTTTTTTTGAAGTGTACAATTTGTGTGCTTTCTGAATGGTTTGGGTATTATTTTCAGATGATGTAAATTGTGAAACTGTATGAACGGAAAACTGCTTTTATTGGTGGTTGATCTTAACAGCATTCAGTTCGCAGCCTAATTCTGTAGGTGGTCTGAGTAGGAAATCTTTTCTGCAAGAGCTTTGTTTCTCTTAAAATGGTGCTTAATAACTCCGTTCTTTTGCAAGGAACTGTATTTATGGGGCAGGTTTTTTTGCAAATACACGGTCTGATGCTTACAGTCAAACCTTCATATGTAGTATAAATTCTCATACTTTTGTGGAAGTCAGTGCAACTGTGCTGATATCCTCCCAGTGAGAATCAGTCCGATACCACGTGCCTTTATATAAGCAAATAGAAAATGGTCGTTGTGTAGCTCCCGGCAATAGTTAGAGCAGAGCACAGTTACTCAAGACATTTTAGACCTGCCATTGAAGGAAGTACTAACCATGGAGCCATTTTAATTAGGAGAACCAACCTTACGGGAGTGACGTGAGGCAGAGATTTTGTGGGTCCAGGCACCGCTGTGCATGTGCTGTTACAGCGCCCTTTGGTCAGAGGGTCTGCTGGTAGGGGCTTCCGAGGAGGGTTTGGTTTCTGGTTTTCCTATTATAAAACATAAGGTCCTATTAGTCTTTGGAACTGACATCGCATACTTAATGTAGCAACAACTGAGTTACATTGAAAATATGTTTGGACTAGCTGTGACCAGATATATGTAAATGAGTAAGCCATAACTTGTTTTTAATAAGCAGGCACTTAAACTTTAAACCAAAGGTTTAATATGATATGTTAATGATTTGTTTCTTTTGATTTTTCTCTCCGAAAATACTGGGTGCGTCTATACTGGAGTTAACTATTAATTGGTGGTAAATGGAAACAACATAGACTGAGTACATACCATTGTAAAAGTAGCTGTATAGAAATGCCAGAAATTACTTTAAAATTCAAATTCAGATGATCAAAGAAACAAACTGCTCAAGCCCAGTTTGAATTGGGAGCATCTGTGGAATTACTTTTTTTTTTTGAGATGCTGCTGTGCTTTCATTCTGTGCAATTAAATGATTCATTAATAAGGAACAGAAGTCATCTGCTGTCAAGCATGAGCTCATGTCTCTTCTGTGTGGTCCCTGAAATACTGTAAACATGGTAACATGTCTATTTGTGGTCTTCATTTTGAAGAACTGGGATAGATTAAGTGACTTGCTCTGAGCACACGCAAAACTCTCCAACAGATCCAAAAACTCGCTTCAGATCCCTCTCTTTGAACTGCATGGTCATGATTTTTCTAAGTAATTTTACTCTTTACCATTAGTTTGCTGTACCTATCATTAGTAAAGTTGACCAAAAAGAAACAAGAAGAGTTTAATTAGATTATGCTTGTAAAGATCCCCTGAAAGTTTTAATCAAAACCAGCTAGGCCTGAATTGCTCATGAATAAAGTACAACTTTTCATGATTCATTTTGAGCATCCCTTTGCTTTCTTACTTTTCATGGCAAATGTTTGCTCTTTTAGGAAGAAAATGCAGGTTGACTTTCAGTAGGCATTTTTAGATAAAGAAGAAAATTCAGAACTTGAGTAAACCTCATATGTAGTCATTTCAAATTTTCCACAAACCACATTTTAAAGCTGTATACAATGTCCCTTTTCTTTTTCACTATGGGCAGAACATGTTCTAGTTTTCGAGTGAATGAGAAATAGCAACATGAAAAAACATTTCTTATTTTAACGTAATGTTTTAGCTAAATCTCTGGTTCAATGTAAAAATGAGTCTTGACTATCATCCAGAACAGCTTCTTCCACTATAAAACAAAACAAACATTTTTGCTCTAAGAAGCTTGTCTGTGAGTTCTGTCTTTGGAGAAAAACAAACCCCAGATATTCTTGAACTAATCAGGCCTGGCAAATGATGAACTAAACAGCATGCTTGTAAATATTCTATGTAGCTTTATCTCACAGGGCTATCTTGTTGGAAGTCACAGAGTTTAATTAAACACTTGCAAGGAAGTTCTTCAAAACATGATCACTTCCCCTGATACAGAACTGGAACCTTAGAACTATTAAGAGAAGAAATCTTACCATCACCATTTCTTGACCAAGGTTTGCTTTGTGTGCTTTCTGAAATGAAATTTTAATGTGTGTGTTTTGAAGTGAAATACACCACTTTGGAACAAGGTAGATCACAGCAGAAACTGGTACTTTTAAAATAAGTGAATTATCTCTACAGTAAAATATAAATTTAAGTTGCTTCTGTAATAATTCTTTAGAAGTCGTAATATTTATTACAGGGGAGAGTATATGCACCATCACCTTGAGTGTGACAGAGTGAAAAAAAAAAGTTGTAATACATAAATATCATAAAGACAGCAATCAACAAATGCATCTTGGAACTCCATAAAGCTGTTATTGCCTTGCCTGCCTTCGCAGAAGTGGTCTTTTCCCTCAAGTACACGATTACTCATGTGCATTAGTCTGATCACATGAGTATTCAGCTGTTTGCTTGATCAGTCCCTAATTGTTATTGCCTGGTTTGTATTTACTCATCAGTTGGCAGAAGGCTTAGGTACCATAACTGGGAAGAGGAAGGGATCCAGGCTCCGCAGTCTAGAGAAACAGAGGTCTGAAGAGCTTGAAATCCGGTGAGGATGAATGAACAAAAAGAGAGAACTGTCCTTGGTTATTTGTCTGTGTTTATTAGCTGTGTTCTGTGGCCAGTCACCGCCTGCAACCCCTGATAGCAGGGAATGAGCGGCCTTCCGACAAGCTTGGAGCAGTTGAGTACTGACGGGACCCTATCGGTTGCGGTTTTCCCCCTTTTTGCAGGGGAAGCTGGCTGAAATGGCTAATCCCTATGTGCTGATCTAGAGAAGTTCTTCAGCTGTGGAGCGAGCATCTTCTCATGGCTGAGCATTAAAATAATCTTTGATGCCTAAGCCATGCTAATCCTTTATGCCCTCTTATTCCAGAGGAAACATCCACGTGAGGAAGTATGTTGAAACAGCACTGGAAATATAAATATAACTCTGATGGGTACACAAGCCCAACACGTGATTTCTTTTTCCTTTTTTTTTTTTTTTACCCCAGAGCTTGTAAAAATGTCATCCTTGAGTTGATATCCTTAAGGAGGAAGCAGCAAAGTGGCTTAACAGAAAGTCTAATGTGCCAACCTGGGTAAAAGAAATTAAATAATAAAAAAAAAAGGTCGGGAATTTGGATAAAAAAGGAGATGAAGAATGTGTAATGGCTGAGATGAAGCAAAATGGAGGAGTGCTTCATAGAAAGGAGATGCCAGCACTGGAAGGTGCCACCAGGAAAACATATGTCCCAAGAAGCAGAAGAAAAATTGTTTAGGAAAGAAATAAATCTCCCCCAAACTGATTACAGGACGGTCTTTCATAGTCTTTATGTACCACAGGAGAACCCAAACTGATGCAGCTTTGTATGTTAACATGTGTGGAAACTTGCTGCAGCTTTTGATGTCCTGGGAAGTCTGTGGCACAGCTCACAGAACCACTGTGGCTGCGCTTCCCTGCTTCATCGCTCGCTCCTTTCTCCCAGCCCATTTTTTAACCCTACACAGCTTCAGCTTTGCAATACAAAGAGTTTTATATCAACAACTTAGCATTTAATGCATTCAGTCTCTGCAGTTGGGGGAGTATTGTTTTAAATATTGTCATGGACTCTTTTTACAGCTCTGCTAGGAAGAAAAACGAAATTCTCAAACTGAGCCCCTACAAAGACATCAGGTGCGTGAAACTTTGATTATTTTTTTTTTTTCCCCACTGATATTTAAATAAGCAACTGGAAGAAGGCTCTTGCCTGAAATGCACTGGGTGAGAAGGGCTGTCTTCCTCAGTCGATTTAGATGGGAACTTAATTTGCGTTAGCCCTCTGCGTCTAAAGCCAGCTCAGTTTTACTCGGGGAAAAGCAAAAATACAAACCTATGTTCCCTGTAATAAGGATGGCCTGTAAAATATGAGATATATTTTGGCAATAAGATGATGACAGTATCAGAGGCAGCAACTGAATGCTAACAGTAACAAAACTGAGTGGAAGTGATCAAATCGGAATGCGCGGACTGAACCCAGGGTTAGTATAAACCTGCACCTTTCCTTGATTTCAATGGTGCTGTGCTGATTTATATTGACTGTGAATCTGGCCCGTAAATAAAGTATGGTTGTCTTGCGAGAGCGACTGAAAGCAGAAAAAGCTGTTTATCAGTCAAGAGATTGTTAAATATTAAACTTGGGAACAGTTCATTTGTTAAGTGTTATTTTGATTTTTAAAAAAATTTTTTTATTATTTTACTTACATCTGAAAGGAAATTTTATAGCAAAATAATCATCCATTCATTGCTGCTTCAACAGCCACTAGAGGGGAAAGGAGTTGTCTTGGAGTCTACTGAGTATGTTGAGGCTTAGCTATCCCTGCTCAAAGCCCAAGGCTGCAGGAAAGTAGCTCGTGCTTAAATATACCTCTTGGAAGGGAGAAGCGGGAAGGAGGCAGCTGGGAAGCCGTAGAAACAGTGACGGGTTTCAGATACTCTTCTTCAGCCCTATACTGCAGTGCTGAGCATCTGGATGATATTATGAATGTAGCAATGATTTTTTTAAAGTGCTTCCTCTGATGACCTGATGGATGTGCTTCCAAGAGAGTGCTGAAGCAGCGCATTAAGGAGTATCTATAGAAACTAGACCAAAACTGTTCTCAAGTTAATTTACTTCTTCCAAGCTTTGAGGGAGTAAAATTGTTAACTTCAGAAGAAAAGATTTTCTTCCCATACAGTGTTTTCTAGGTCCCTAGGATATAAAAAGTAGCTATTTCTGACATACTTGAATTGAGGTTATGGACATAATTTTGAAAGAAGCCACTCTTGCTTATTCACTAGGTTGCCTTGTGTTGACCCCTTGTTTGTCCTACTTCTGTTCCACACAGCAACTGAAAATTGAAAACAGCGATATTTTGCTTGATGGAGTAACCGTCACGATTAATTTGAGCTGCCAAATTGAAAAGCTTTCTGGCAGTTTCAGATCTGTCAGTCTTTGGTAATGATAATGCCAGAGATCTGGTATTCTACCTTGCCCTTTATGTGGGATTTGAAGGGGAGGGCACTTAAGAACATGAATTGTAGTGGCGCATTGCGCAGCTTTGATGCGCGATGACAGGCTGGGGCAGATACAGATGCACCATCAGAATGAGAAATGGTTATTTTTTTCTTGGAAAACCTTTTCTCCATCTGTCTTCTGGTAGCAGGAGACAGTGTAAGCTTGGAAGTTGCTAGATAAGAAGAAACAGAAGAAATTTCTTCTTTTTTTTTTTTTTTAAAGGAACCATTTGATTAAGAAACAGAGAAGCACTTGTAGTTAAAATCAACTGTGAAATATGCAGAATGTTTTAAGCAATACAAGAAAATAAACAAAAAAACCATTGGAGCTAAAGACAAAAGCATCACAAACAAATGCTACAATGTTTCCCATTCCTCTGAGATGGAAAATAAATGACTAGCGAGGTGGAAAAGGGAAGAAGAAAAAGCTTAAATACTTTGAAAGTGATTAATAAACTGGCCACGCTTACAAAAGTTGGTCCGAGTGATTCAGACTTAGACAAAATTAAAACTAGACACACTTTTTCTGCTGTCATGATACGTAAGCCCACTGCCACGGCAGCTCAGCATTGTCTCATCCCTTTTTGTTCTTTTTACAGCCACTTTTCAGAGCGCTGCACTTCAGCAACTGTTTCTCATGG